ATTCAGCCTCTCCCTGTAGCTCAAACCCTCCAACCCCAGCAACGTCCTTGTAAATCTTTTCTGCACCTTCTCAAGTTTAACGACATCTTTCCTGGAGAAGGGCTACCAGACTTGTAGGCAGTACTCCAAAAATGGCCTAACCAATGTCCTGTACAGCTGCAAGTTGACAGTTCTAAAGAGATCAAAGGAACAAAGCAGAGTTGGATGATAGCCCATAAGTGGCGGAGCAGGCTTGAAGGGCTGAATGTCCTACTCTTGTTCCTTTTTCCATCTTTTGTTTTGTCCAGTTGAACTCCCTTGACGGTCAGGAATCTTCACCTGAGAAGATATTCACACCTGCCCTACGAGAGAAATTCTCCTCATCTCAGGCTTAAATGGGCTACGCGAAGTGTTCAAATAAACCGGATTCCCCTATTTCTAGATTGCCCTGAACGTCCCCAGCCTTGTCAATTTCCCCCAAAATTTTGTATGTTTCACAGAATTCCCTTAAATGTGGAAACAGCCCAATAAGATTACCTCTTCTTTTAAGCTCCCCTGGATAAAAGACCTTTCTCAGGGGTAAGCACCGAGTTCCCTTAAATCTCAGAAATCTGCGTTCCCTTGTCCTGACTGCTCTCCCATTTCCCAAACCCTTAATCTTCCAGCATCTGCAGTATCCTTTCAAAAAAAAATCTAGCGTACCTGAAATCTAAGAATTTGGAACCCGCCCCCGGCTGAGAGAGAGAGAGAAAAAAACAGAAATTAAACATTCACTGCTTGCATCTAGATTAGCTCCTTTTCATTGCGAACACGCCCTTGTTTGTCGTTTTATTCCCCGAAGTGTTTGCAGGAAAGTGTGAAGAGGTGGCAGGAGATGTGATCACGAATGCTCTCAGTAGAGGGCGCCCGAAAGCTTTGGAGAGACGCAGTTTGCCCTTTGCAAACTGGAAGAGATAGATAGGGAGGATTTTTGTTGGGACTGGCTTTGTCCAGCGAGCAAAAGGGGATTAGACTGTAAGGTGCATTCAGCAGGGATGCGTGTGCACTCCCTCACAGAGCTGAGAGGATTCTGTGGGTGGGGGCTGGCGTGTGTGTTTTGCAGGAGAGATTTAAAATGATCTAATCCACTGTAACCTGCTCATTCAAACAGAGCTGAGGGGAGGTGTGGTAGAAGGATAAGGGAGCGGAGAGAGCTGCAAAAGACAGAGAGATTGAAGAAATGACAGGGGCGGAGACCTCGGCAAGACTGCAATGCATCTGACTTGGTGAACGCCAGATTTCACAAGGTAAGGATGATGGAGAGTTGAGGAGATGTATGTATTTTTTTTTGGGGGGGGGCGGTCAGAGGGTCGGTTCTTGTTCAGCTAATTTCCAGGACACCCCATCCACCTCCCCAATGCATCATTCTGGGCGGAGGAGGGGAAAATCGACTCCCTTTAAGTAACGTTACCCTCCCTCAGCCATCGTGGACCCCCCGGCGTGTAAATTTCACCTGAAATGACATGAGGCAGAGAGGTGGAAATTGCTTGATGGTTGCAGTGTTAAAATTGTACGCCTTTTGGAGGGTGGGGGTGGGAGTGGGAGCATTGATCCATTATAAATGTTTACTCCCATTTTCTCACCGCTAATATTCCCACCACCCCCCAAAGCAAAGCGATTTGTAAAATTCATGCATTGGTGTGATGGCTTAATCTGGGGGCGTATTTAAGAAGGAGGTCTAAGCTGTCTAAGTGGGTGTTTTGGGTGGGCTCTGGTCTGTTAGCACAACCATCTGGGGCACAGAACGATCCACTTATAAATCCAACCACCCTCTGCAAAGCCCTGGGGAGCTGGGTGACTTCCATTGCTATCTGTGTCTTAGCAAGATCCCACAGTCACACACCCCCCCACCCACCCCCAAACATTTATTTCACAGAATCTGAAATTGAACAGAAAGCCATCCTTTCTCATCCATCCTAGACACTGTTGCATTAAGGTGACCCCACCCCCGCCCAAATCAGTTTCGTTAATACCCATTTAAGGAGGAAAATCTGCCACCTTTACCCCCAGCCAGCTCCAGACCCATGTCAACATGGTGTACTCTCACTGCCCCCTGAAGTGGGATGGGGGGGAGCTCTCAGAGATGGCCAATAGATCCCCAAGCAAGAACAGAATGAGAGAAAGTCAGACAGTTGTAGAATCCCTACAGTGGGGAAGCAGGCCATTCAGCCCACAGAGCCCCTCCAAAGGTCATCCTACGCAGACCCACTCCCCTATAAGCCTGCATTTCCTGTGGCTAACCCACCTAACCTACACATTCCTGGACACTACAGGGCAATTTAGCATGGCCAATGCACCCTAACCTGCACGTCTTTGGACTGTGGGAGGAAACCAGAGCACCCGGAGGAAACCCATGTAGACACGGGGAGAACTGCAAACTCCACACAGACAGTTGCCCGAGGCTGGAATCGAAGCCGGGTACCTGGGTGCTGTGAGGCAGCAGTGCTAACCACTGAGCCACTGTGCTACCCCATTTTATAGGCTCAGAGTTTGAGAAACTTCAGTTGCAAAAACAAAGCAGACAAGTTGGGACTGTTGGAAGAGAGAATGTCAGGAGGAGATTTTGAGCAAGGGACATTCAAAATCGTGAGGAGACAGAGGATGCGGAGAGAAGCCATTCCCTTTAACGGAAGGATCTAGGACGAGGTGGGGTGGTGGGGGAAGGTGCGAATTTGAGGCAATTGGTAGGAGAAGCATTTTCATGCACAAATAGTTACGGTCTCAGAATTGGCACACTTCCGAATCCAGCAAGGAGTTAGATATAGCACTTGGGGCTAAAGGGAACGTTTAAGAATTTTGGGGAGAAAGTGGGGACTGAGTTGGATGAACAGCCCATGTTCAGATTGAATGGCAGCACACGCTTGTAGGGCCGAATGGCCGCCTCCTGCTCCTATTTTCTCAGTTTCTCAGTTTCTATGCATTGTAAGTCATGGAGAGGTGATAGCCTAGTAATAATATTGCTGCACTATTAACCCAGAGACCCAGATAATGTTCCGGGGACCTGGGGTCAAATCCCACCGTGGAATCGAAATAAAAAGATCTGGAATAGAATGAGAAAGATGTGAAATTCTAAACCATGAAATGATGGTTGTCAGGAAAATCTTGCTTGAGAGAAGTCCCACATGCAACTCCAGGCACAAAGTTGATCCTTAACTGCCTCTCCGCCGTTGGGCAATGGGCAATGAATGCTGGCCCACATTCCCATGAACGAGTCAGGAAAAAAAAGGGCAGGCCGTTTAGCCCATCTCTTGCCATTCAATACTTTCTGCCCTCACGTTCCATGGTCTGAGTCTCCAGTGGAGGCTGAATGGCCACGTTTCGCCCCGTGACCATTCCCCTCCACTGAGCAGTAAAGACCCGCACCGCATTCCCGATCCCTCACCAAATCCCAGCAATTCCGGCACCTCCTGGGTTGTGAGAGGGGCGCGTGGCCGGAAAAGGGAGACGTCCCAGGATTTCCCTTCACCAGCCAACGCAGCCTGGGAACTGCACAGCTCACGGATATCGACCAATAATATATCCGCAGCCCCACAATTCCCATGACTGGAGTGATTCTAACTGATTAGTGGGAGCGGACGGAACTCCGTTTTGCAGTGCCTGGCTGGGAAATCGTCCACTTTGCCACGAAGAACAAAAACAAAAATAAGCATGTTACCTAAATTGTGAGAGGCTGCGGAGCTCCGGGATGCAGAGGGATCTGGGCGTCCAAGTGTGTGGATCATAGAAGGTTAGTCCACAGCACAGCAAGTAATCAGGAAAGCTCAGAACATGTTATTATTTATTGCAGGGAGAGTCGAATGGAAGAGTAGGGAGGTTCGGCTTCAGATATAACAGGGTGTTGGTGAGACCGCATCTGGTTTACTGTATCCAGTACTGGTCACTGTGCTTGCAGAGGGACGCTAATGCAGAGGAAGCATTTCAGAGACGGTTTAGTCAGCTAATCCCTGAAATGATTATGGGGAAAGGCTAGACAGGGCTAGGCCTGTACCCTCTGGGATTTAGAAGAGGCAGAGACGACTGAATTGAAATGTAAGATCCTGAGGGGACTGTGGGAGGATGCGGAAAGGATGTTTCCTCTCTGTGGGTGAATCTAGAGCGAGGGGACATGGTTTAAAAATAGGGAGGGCCCATTTAAAACAGAGATATTTGCTCTCAGAAGGTTGTGAGTGTTTAGAATTCCCTTCCTTCAAGGGTAGGAGTTGGGAGGGTCATGTTGCGGCTGTACAGGGCATTGGTGAGGCCTCTTCTGGAATACTGCATTCAATCCTGGTCTCCCTGCTATAGGAAGGATGTTGTGAAAGGTTTCAGAAAAGATTTACAGGGGCGTTGCCAGGGTTGGAGGGTTTGAGCTCTCGGGAGAGGCTGGGGGCTATTTTCCCTGGAGTGTCGGAGACTGAGGGGCTGACCTTATAGAGGTTTATAAAATCATGAGGGAGGCATGGATAGGGTGAATACCCAAGGTCTTTTCCTCAGGGTAGGGGAGTCCAAAACTAGAGGGGCATAGGTTTAAGGTGAGAGGGGGAAAGATTTTAAAAGGGGACCGGAGGGGCAACTTATTCACACAGAGGGGGGTGCGTGTGTGGAACGAGCTACCACAGGATGTGGTGGGGGCTAGTACAGTTACAACATTTAAAAGGCATCTGGATGGGTACATGGATAGGAAAGGTTGAGAGGGATGTGGGCCAAATAGGACTGGAAGGACAAGTTGGACCAAAGAGTCTGTTTCCGTGCTCTACGGCTAGGGATGCAGGATTTTTCAATATTTTTGAAGCAGACGGACGTGGTTTCTTGACGACCAAGTGGGATATACAGGAGGGTCACGTAAAATCAGATCAGCCCATAGAGGAGCAGGCTTGAGGGGCCGAGTGGCCTAAATATGGCAACTGAAGGAATTGAAATTTAATCAATGGGACTGAATGAATGAATGAATAAATGAATGAATGAACTGAGAGCCAGTCTCTCTGATGGCGACTGTGTAGTTATCATCGATTGTTGTAAAAACCTGTGCGGTTCTTACGCGAGATGTTTGTTCGGTTATTAAGGGAGATGGAAAGGATAGGTGCAGGTGAGGTACAGACTTGAACAAAAAGGAGAACAATTTTCCAAGTTCTTCCAGGGGACTTGACTGTCATTTGCTGCCCATCCCTCATTGCCCCTTGCAGGGAACACCCCACTCGGCGGTTTCGGAGAGTAGTTGAGAGTGAGTCAGCCTCATCGCTGTGGGTCTGGAGTCACGTGTAGGCCCGGAGTAGTGATGGTAGATGTCCCTCCCTGAAGGGGCATTTCCAGCAGTTAATCCTAGGGCAAGATGTTAATTGCAGAATCATCCGTCGAATTTATACTCCATGGTGGGATTCGAACTGTACCCCTTTTACTTTTATTCACTTGTGAGACGTGGGTGTCACTGGCTGGGCCCAGCATTTATTGCCCCGTTCCCCCCTAATTGCCCCCTTGAGGAGGTGGGTGTGAGCCGCTGCAGTCCATGTGGTGTAGGGACCCCCGCACAGTGCCCTCAGGGAGGAAGTTCCAGGATTTTGACCCGACAACACTGAAGGAATGGCCAATATATTTCCCAAGTCGGAGATGGTGAGGGGCTCGGAGGGTGAACTTGCAGGGGGTGGTGTTCCCATGTACCTGCTGCCCTTTGTCCTTCTGGATGGAAGTGGGTCGTGGGTTTGGAAGGTGCTGTCTGAGGGGCCTCGGTGAGTCGCTGCAGTGCATCTTGTAGATGGTACACACTGCTGTTACTGAGAGTCGGTGGTGGGGGGAGTGGGATGTTTGTGGATGTGGGGCCAATCGAGCGGTGGGCTGCTTTGTCCCTGGATGGTGTCGAGCTTCACGAGTGTTGTTAGAGCTGCCCCCATCTACGGCAAGTGCCTTGTTGATGGGGGTGTTGGGGGCAGGCTTTAAAATGCAGATAGAGCCTGGCAGTTTGTTGTCAATCATCACCAACTGCTACATCCTCTGCAGCAACACCTCTGCCAAACAGAGTTCACTTATAAACCAGTCAGAATCCTCCTCTGATACAATGTTGCTTCCGCTCTTGCGTTGGTATTCTTGCAAACTGTCCTGATGCGTATAAAATGAAAACCTCTGGCAAAATGTGTCTTTTTCTCCTGTGACATTCCAAAATATTCCAAAAGTGCTGCAGAAACTCAGCAGGACTGAGGAGACAGAGAGAGAGAAAAAAAATTAAGTTAATGTTTTGAGTTCAGTGACCCTGGCATTGGGAAGGTGTGTGTTGAGT